TAGAGCCCGACATGGGCACAACCCACTTCACAAAACTATTTGAAGGAATCGATGAAAGTTAGACACACGCCTGTCTTGTGACCAGCACTTCCCTCCTGGGTATGCTTTTTGCATTAAAATATGTGGACAAGGCCAGGCACGGTGGCTCATGCCTAGAATCCCAGCAATTTGGGAGGCCGAGGCAGGCAGATCACTTGAGGTCAGGAGTTCCGAGACCAGCCTGGTCAACATGGCGAAATCCTGCCTCTACTAAAAATACAAAAATTAGCTGGGCGTGGTGGTAGATATCTGTAATCCCAGCTACTCAGGAGGCTGAGGCAAGAGAATCACTTGAACCTGGAAGGGGGAGTTTGCAGTGAGCTGAGATTGTGCCACTGCACTCCAGCCTGGGCGATAGGTGGAGAATCAGCCTCTCTCTCTCTCTCTCTCTCTCTCTCTCTCTCTCTCTCTCTCTCTCTGTGTGTGTGTGTGTGTGTGTGTGTGTGTGTGTATGGGCAAGGTTGGGTGCAGTGGCTTATGCCTGTAATTCCAGCACTTTAGGAAGCCAAGGCAGGAGGATCACTTGAGCCCAAGAGTTCAGGACCAGCCTTAACAACATAGCAAGACCCAGTCTCTACAATAGTAATAATAATGGCTGGGTTTGGTGGCATGCACCTGTGGTCCCAGCACTTTGGGAGGCTGAGGCCAGAGGATCACTTGAGCCTGAGAGGTGGAGGCTGCAGTGAGCCGTGATCATACCACTGCACTCCAGCTTGGGCAACAGGGCAAGACCCTGCCTAAAAAAAAAAAAAGAAAGAAAAAAAAAAAGAAAAAAAGCCGGATGCAGTGACTCAAGCCTGTAATCCCAGCACTTTGGAAGGCCGAGGCGGGCGGATCATGAGGTCAAGAGATCGAGACCATCCTGGTCAACATGGTGAAACCCCGTCTCTACTAAAAACACAAAAAATTAACTGGGCATGGTGGCGTGTGCCTGTAATCCCAGCTACTCAGGAGGCTGAGGCTGGAGAATTGCCTGAACCCAGGAGGCGGAGGTTGCGGTGAGCCGAGATCGCGCCATTGCACTCCAGCCTGGGTAACAAGAGCGAAACTCCGTCTAAGGACAAGAATGTTGCAAGCCACTTGATTCATAATTGTCCCAAACAGCAAACAACCCGAATGGAATGCTCATCCGCAGGAGAATGGATGAGCAATTTGTAGTATATTCCTAGGACACAATACTACCCAGAAACAAAAAGGAACTAACCCCTGATACACACAACTACGTGTCGTTGACTGTGTATTGAATGAAAGAAGCTGGACACAAGGGCGGACCTGTGCCATGATTTCATTCATCTAAGTTCAAAAACAGGAAGCAGTCAATCACATTGATATGTGATGAGCACATGGTGGGGACAGCATAATGAAGGCATATACAAGAGCCAGAGTGGTTACCCCTGCAGGATGGAGGGGGTTGTGCTGGGGTGGGGGACACTGGGATTTCTGGTGGCCGCCACTTTCTACTTTCATTGTTGTTGAGACAGGATCGATCTGGCTCTGTCACCCAGGCTGGAGTGCAGTGGCACAATCACAGGTCACTGCAACCTCCATACCCTGGGCTCAAGAGATCCTTCTGCCTTGGCCTCCCGAGTAGCTGGGACTACAGGTACATGCTACCACACCCAGCTAAGTTTTGTATTTTTTATAGAGATGGGGCTTCGCCATGTTGCCAAGGCTGGTCTTGAAATTGTGAATTCAAGTGATCCTCCTGCCTCCGCCTCCCAAAGTGCTGGGGTTACAGGCATGAGCCACTGCACCTGGACCCAACCTCACTTTCTTCTCTTTGTTTGTTTGTTTGTTTGTTTGTTTGTTTGTTTTTTTGAGATGTAGTTTAACTTTTGTTGCCCAGACTGGAGTGCCATGGGACAATCTCAGCTCACTACAACCTCCGCCTCCCAGGTTCAAGCGATTCTCCTGCCTCAGCCTCCTGAGTAGCTGGGATTACAGGCATGTGCCACTACACCTGGATAACTTTATATTTTTAGTAGAGATGGGGTTTCTCCATGTTGATCGGGCTGGTCTCTAACTCCCGACCTCAGATGATCCACCTGCCTCAACCTCCCAAAGTGCTGGGATTACAGGCGCCCTCCACCATGCCTGGCTATTTTTTTTTTTTATTTTTAGTAGAGATGGGGTTTCACCCGTTGGCCAGACTGGCCTCGAACTCCTGACCTCAGGTGATTCACCCGCCTCTGCCTCCCAAAGCATTGGGATTACAGGCGTGAGCCACCCGACCCAGCCTGTCTTAACCATTTTTAAGCATATCATTCAGTGGCATTAAGTACACTCACATTGTTGTGCAATCATCACCACGATCATTTCTAGAACTTTTATTTTATTTTAGAGACAGGGTCTCACTCTGTTGCCTAGGCTGGAATGCAGTTGCGGGATCATAGCTCACTGCGGCCTCCACAACTCCTGGGCTCAAGTGATCCTCCTGCCTTGGCCTCCCAAAGTGCTGGGATTACAGGCGAGAGTCACCTTGCCTGGCCTCCAGAATGTTGTCATCTTCCCGAACCGAAACTCTGTCCCCATGAAACACTCACTCCTACCCCAGTCCCCAGCCCCTGGGAACCCCCCATCCTACTTTCTTTCTCTGTGAATCTGACTGCGCCATGGTCCTCCTATGAAGCCCCTGTCTGTCCTTTTGTGACTGACTTATTTCATTGAACATGATGATCTCAGCGTTCACCCACGTTATATCAGGTGTCAGAATTTCCTTCCTTTTTGTGGCTGGATAATATTCCATTGTGTGGGTCGGCCATATTGTACTGATCTATTCATCTGTGGATGGACTTTGGGTTGCTTCCGCCTTCTGGCTACTGTGAATCTTACTGCTATCAGCATTGTTATACAAATATCTCTGTGTGCGTCCCTGCTGGGTCCCGTGTGATGCTGTTTCATTTCTGGAGGAACTGTTTTCTGCAGCGGCTATACCATTTTACATTCTTATCACAATTTTTTTTTTTTTTTTTTTTTTTTTTAATGCTGGAAACCATTTTCAACTCTGCCTGGTACCTCCAGGGTTCCAGGGGACTTTTCGGATCTGGGGTGGGATTCCCGCGGATTCCCTCCCCACTCCCCATCACACAGCCCAGCTGGTGGGAGCGACCAGCAGGTGGCCACTTTAATTAGCTCCTGCCTGGAGCAGAAGTGGACACCGCGGAGCCTGGCACAGAGTGTCCCTGGGAGGGGAGCAAGCAGAGAGACCAGGGACCATAGGGGGCAGGGTCTGAGGGTGAACATAGGGTTTGACAACATCGGAGCAGCCAGGTCTCATTTCACAGGTCCCCAAACAGGTCCACTCAGTCCCCTGGGTCCATCCCAGGACCCCTGACCTTCCGTGTGCAATCCCTATCCCACCTTGGGCAAACATCTTTCAAAATGCTTTTGATCTAATTAGGCTTTCAGGGAGAGGGCGGGTTCTCCTGACTTGCTTGTGTCTTGCCTCTGTCTCTGTCACTGTCAGTGTCTCTGGTCTCTCATCCCTAATGTCGCCCAATCACAGCCACTCCAGGGCTGGCCCCGCCCCCACCTTCCACCCCTAATGTCGCCCAATCACACTCTCACTCTGGGCCACTCCAGGGCTGGCCCCGCCCCTCACCTCCCACCCCTAATGTCGCCCAATCACACTCTCACTCTGGGCCACTCCAGGGCTGGCCCCGCCCCTCACCTCCCACCCCTAATGTCGCCCAATCACACTCTCACTCTGGGCTACTCCAGGGCTGGCCCCGCCCCTCACCTCCTACCCCCTAATGTCACCCAATCACACTCTCACTCTGGGCCACTCCAGGGCTGGCCCCGCCCCTCACCTTCCCCATGGGCTGGCCCCACCCCTCACCTCTCCTGATTGGTCCTGCTGTTTGCCAACATGCCTCTTTGTGGCCCTCTGCCACGCCCCCTCAAGCTCCACCCCCACCCATTGGCTGGTCCAGACCATCCTCTCTCCTTCTGATGGGGGAAACTGAGGCCCAATATGGGGAGCTCCTGATCCAAGGCTACTGGTTGGTAGCTGGTCAGTGACAGCCCACTGTCCCCCATCCCAGTGCCAGGGCTTCTTCCATCTTTCTGGGACCACTGGTGCCCTCCCCATTCTCCCTGCTGGGCAGCCCCTCTGCTCACTCCCCTCACCCCGCCTTGTCCAGGGTTCTCAGCAACTCTTCTCTGAGCTCAGCTATGAAAATTAGCCGGGCGTGGTGGCGGGGGCCTGTAATCGTAGCTACTCGGGAGGCTGGGCAGGAGAATCGCTTGAACCCAGGAGGCAGAGGTTGCAGTGAGCTGAGACCACTGACTTCGTTATTGGCTGGGCCTCCTCTCTCCCTCTTCCCTGGTCTCACCCTTTGGAGGTTGTATCTGTGCAGGGGCCGAAGGGGTGGGAAGACACGGAGCCAGTTCGACTGTCTCCTCCAGGAACAAGGTGGCTCCCGAATCCTCTTCTCTTTTGCTTTTTTAAAATTGCAGTACGGTATACACAACTTAAATGTTTAAATGCACAGCTCGGTGGCGTCAAGCACATCCACACGGTTGTGCAGCCATCACCACCACCACCGTCTCCAGAACTTTCTCATCTTCCCAAACGGAAACTCTATTCCCATGAAACACTCATTCCCCACCCTCTCCTCAGCCCCTGGCGTCCCCTCCCCCCATCCTATTTTCTGTCCCTGTGAATCTGACGACTCTAGGGACCTCCTAGGAGTAGAATCACACAGGATTTTCTTTGTGTCTGGCTTATTTCACTGAGCGTGACGTCCTCAGGGTGCATCCGTGTTACAGCCTGTGTCAGTTTCCTTCCTTTTCATGGCAGAATAATACTCCATTGCGTGGATGCTCCGAGTTGTGTTGATCTCTGTGCATCTGTTGATGGGCGCTTGGGTTGCTGCCACCTTGTGGCCACTGTGAGTGGTGCTGCTGTGACCGTCGGTGCGCACCTGCTCTCTTAACACCCCCGTTTCTCTCCCTTCCAGGCTGTGCCTTCCTCACCTACTGTGCCAGGGATTCCGCCATCAAAGCTCAGACTGCCCTGCACGAGCAGAAGACCTTGCCCGGAGTGAGTCCTGTGTGGTGTCTGGGGAGGACGGGACGGGGGACTGCTCTCAGCCTGGGGTGAGGGCCATGTTTTCTGAGATTGGCTGTGAGTTCTGTGTGTCTCTGGACTCAGAAAGCGGCGTGAGGAGCAGAGGGATAGAAATCACATCAGCATGTGCATTTATTGACTGCCTACTGTGTGCCGCACTCTATATGTTATACCAGAGTGGTCGTGTGTGGTTGTGCAGGTTGTACACTGCACAAGGGCACCTGCCCCAGTGTGTTAGTGTCATTGAGCTGACACCTGAAGGATAAGGAGGCATTAGCAGGCAGAGGGCACAGCACGTGCCAAGGCCCTGGGACAGGACCATGCCTGGCATTTTGGAGGAACAGGGAGGAGGCCTGTGTGGCTGGAAGACAGTGAGGAGGGGGAGAGAGGAAGCGGGGAAAGACGGGAGGTGACAGGGCTGGTCACTGAGGGCCGTGTGGACCACAGGGAGGACTGGAGACCCTGCCTGCGTCTCACTGTAAAAAGGAAAAGGATTTTCCCCACTCGTTCTTAGGGTGCAAATGGAGCCACAGTTCCTAACACAAGGGCTTCTTCGTTTTTGTTTTTCTTTTCGTTTTGAGATGGAGTCTCGCTCTGTCACCCAGGCTGGAGTGCAGTGGCATGATCTTGGCTCACTGCAACCTCCACCTCCCGGGTTCAAGTGATTCTCCTGCCTCAGCCTCCTGCGTAGCTGGGATTACAGGCATGCACCACCACGCCCGGCTAATTTTTGTATTTTTAGTAGTGACAGGGTTTTACCATGTTGGCCAGGCTGGTCTCAAACCCTTGATCTCATGTGATCTGCCCGCCTCAGCCTCCCAAAGTGCTGGGATTACCTGCGTGAGCCACCACACCTGGCCAACACAGGGTCTTCTTAATCAGTATTTCCATCTGCAGAGGAGGCTGGCCTGGGTGCTGACTCTGATGAGTTTCTGTTTATTTTTATTTCTTTGAGACAGGATCTTGCTCTGTTGCCCAGGCTGGAGTGCAGTGGCTCACTGCAGACTCCCATCTTCTGGAGTCAAGTGATCCTCCCACCTTCTGAGTAGCTGGGACTACAGGTGCATGCCATTATGCCTGGCTAATTTTTAAATTTTTGTAGAGATGGGGTCTCATTGTTTCCTGAGCTGATCCCGAACTCCTGGCTCAGTCGCTCCTCCTGCTTTCACCTCCCAAAGTGCTGGGATTGTACTTTGGGTGGGCACGAGGTCCCTGCCCCCCGTGAAGGGTGAGTGGTTCCCTCTGAGCCAGCCAATCCAGGTCCCCAGGCAATGCCTCCTGATGGAGACTGAAGCAACCACAGTGAGCCATGGCACCCCACCTTGTGAGCTCTGGGGCAGGGAGCTCAACCTTCCCTCTGGAATTCTCAGGGACCTTTCAGCATTCAGGGACATCAGGGTATTCGTAGCCATCTGGGCTTGGCTCACTGTAGGAAATCTGACATGCGCCTTCCAGGGGTTCCAGAGGTCATGGCATGAGTTTGACTTGATTCTCAATGAGCGTCAGAAGGTTCTGGGCATGGGGGTGGCCTCTGCTTTGTCTTGAAGAATAGGGAACCCCTCTTTTGGGTGTGACATGATGCAAGTTAGAGCCTGGGGGTCTGACGGCCACATCTGTGTGCTCGTTGCTTAGCCCCATCCTTCCTGTGTGACAGTGAGCCAGTGACTTAACCTCTCTGATCTTCAGCACTGGAAGAGAATAAAAGGGCAGGGTGGGGCAGCAATCTGTAGAGGAGGTGATCATGGAGGGCTTCACTGACGAGGTGACATTTGAGAAGAAACCTGAAAGATGGCATGGAAGGGCACACCAGGCAGAAGGAACAGCATGTGCAAAAGTGATCTAGAGTCTGTGGATAAATTCTCTGAATTCACTCTTCACCTTGGACCTTCTGCGAGTGCCTCCCCAAACCAACCGGAAGCTTAAAAAAATACATTAAAAGGCCGGGCGCAGTGGCTCACACCTGTAATCCCAGCACTTTGGGAGGCTGAGGTGGGTGGATCACAAGGTCAAGAGATCGAGACCATCCTGGTCAACATGGTGAAACCCCGTCTCTACTAAAAATACAAAAAATTAGCTGGGCATGGTGGCGCGTGCCTGTAATCCCAGCTACTCAGGAGGCTGAGGCAGGAGAATTGCCTGAACCCAGGAGGCGGAGGCTGTGGTGAGCCGAGATCGCGCCATTGCACTCCAGCCTGGGTAACAAGAGCGAAACTCCGTCTCAAAAAAAAAAAAAAAAAGAAAAAGAAAAAAACACCATGGCGAGGCAGGTGGATCACAGGGTCAAGAGATCGAGACCATCCTGGCCAACATGGTGAAACCCCGTCTCTACTAAAAATACAAAAAATTAGCTGGGCATGGTGGTGGGTGCCTGTAGTCCCAGCTACTCAGGAGGCTGAGGCAGGAGAATTGCTTGAACCCGGGAGGCAGAGGTTGTAGTGAGCCAAAATCGTGCCACCAAACTCCAGCCTGGCACCTGGTGACAGAGTGAGACTCTGTCTAAAAAAAAAAAAAAAGATCCCCAGAAAACACACACACACACACACGAAAAAACCCCCACAACCAAACAAACAATCAGTCAAACTAGAGAAGCTGGAGGGTAGATCAGTCCATATAGATTAGTGCCAGGGACACAGCAGAGTCCTAAGGACCATATTAGTTATTTATTGCTGCATAACAAATTATCCCCCAAATAGAGACTTCAAACAATAATCGCTTGTTATCTCACAGCTACCAGGGGTCGGGAATTTGGGAGCGAGTTTGCTGCATGATCCTGGCTCAGGGTCTCTCCTGACGTTACAGCCAAGATGTCAGCAGGGGTGTGTGGTTGAGGAGTCTGCTTCTGAGCTGGCTTCCTCTGGTGGCTACTGGAAGGAGGCCTCAGCTCCTCACCACATGGGCTTCTCCGCAGTGCTGCTTGAGCTTCCTCACAACATGGCATCTTCCCCCAGAACACATAACCAAAGAGTGATCAAGGATAAGCCCTAGCCTCAGAATTACACACCATCTTTTCTACCACATTCTAGCACCAGGAGCCCAGGGATTCAGAGCAGGGTGGGAAAAGGTGGAGGGAGGAACTAGAGGAACAGACCAGCTCAATACTGGACGTGTCTAAGGTTAGGCAGCCTGCAAGCTGCAGAGTGGGGATTTGGACCTTCATGGTCTGACTCCAGACCCTGTGCTAGTGATCAGCCCCTGTGCTGTTGCCTAATTCCTCTAAGTTTAGTGGACCATGTTTTTGTATGATATCAGGTCCTGGGTGGAAGCTCTGGCCCTTCTGTCCAGAGAAATCTGTACGTACATGGAGATTTACCAGCACTTCTAAGGAGTCCCACCAGCTAAGTACTTCTCCCCCATTCCCTTGTCCCCATTTCCCTGATGAAGTGAACTGAGACCCAAACCTAGTCTCTCTTCCACTGTCTGAGGCTGTAGGGACCTTGGAACCTGTTCTCTTCCTCTTGGGAGCCAAAGTGGGGCTCTTCACTCTGTTGGCAGCCAGAAGAGAAGATGGAAGAGGGTGGAAGGACCAAGAGCCATGAAGCCTCATGCCCCTTTTGCCAGGCTGGTGTCCCAGATCTGAGTCCACTTTGAGATGAGGAGACTCAGTGACAATCACCAGTAGCTCCTTCTCTGCATCCATCTTGAGGGGCTGTCCTTTTCTACCTGCCTACTCTCCCTAGGCCAGCCCAGAAACTCATCCATCCACCCTTTCATCCACCCATCACCTATCTGCCCATGTGTCCACTTGCCTGGCTACCTGCCCACCCATCCATTAACTCACGCGTCTACCCATCCACCCACCCACCCACACTTCCATCATCCACCCATCCTCTCCTGCAGCCACACATCCATCCATCTACCCATCCATCCATCCACCCACCATTTATCCATCCATCCACTCATCTACCTTCTCATCCATCCATTCACACACCCATCCATTCTCCCATTCACTCATCCAGTCATCCATCCATCCACCTATCAGTTCATCCATCCATCCATCACTCACTTATCCACCCATCCATCCATTCACTCACCCATCTACTCATTACCCATGCACTCACCCACACATCTATTATCCATCCATTCATTCCCCCATCCAGCCACACATCCATCCATTCACCCACACATTCACCCATCTACCATACATCTATCTAGTCACTCACTCATCTGTCCGCTCACCCACCCACCCACCCACCCATCCATCCATCCATCCATCCATTCACCCACACATCCATCCATCTAACATTCATCTGTCTAGTCACTCACTCATCTGTGCACCCACCCATCTATCCATCAATCCATCTGTTTACCCATTTGCCCTTTTATTCATCCATCCATCCATCCACCCACCCATCCATCCATCCATCCACTCATCAATTCCTCCATCCATCCATCCATCCATCACTCACTCATTCATCCACCCATCCATCCACTCACTCATCTACTCATTACCCACCTACCCACACATCTATTATCCATCCATCCATTCCCCCGTCCAGCCACACATCCATCCGTTCACCCACACATTCATCCATCTATCACTGATAGTCACTCACTTGTCTGTCCATCCACCCCACCCATCCATCCATCCATCCATTCACCCACACATTCATCCATCTAACATTCATCTGTCTAGTCACTCACTCATCTGTCTGCCTACCCATCTATCCATCCATCTGTTCACCCATTTGCCCTTTTATCCATCCATCCATCCACCCACCCATCCATCCATTCACCCATCCATCTGTCCATTACTCATCTACCCACTTATCTATCCATCTATCTGTCCACCCATCTACCCTTCCATCCATCCATCCATTCATTCATCACTTATTCTTCCACCCATTCATCTATTGATTCACTTACCCATCCATCCATCTAACTATCCTCCCATCTGCCCACACATCCATTCACCCATCTAACCTTCTGTCCATCCATCCAACAATTTTTTATCAAGCCCCTACTATTTGCCCCAT